AGTACAATATAAAAATGAGCAAAATTACCCAGACAACCAGGGATACCCAGCCGTATGCCACCTATTTTTAGTAACTGTTATGTTCATAATCAGTAAAAATATTACGTGACAAATTAATGCTGAGAGGGTCTATGTCCCCCAGGGTACTGCCGGAACGTACCCTAGTACTATCTAATATGCCGGACCGTACCTCGCCTACTCCACTAACGAGTCTAGAGAGTCGCCTACGCCTACTCCCTAACCCTAACCATATCAGAGTGACCAGGGTACGTTCCGGTATACCGGACCGTACCAAGGGTGCGTTCTGGCAGCACCCTGGGGGACATAGATGTACCCTATGAGCCAAATTAAACCCATCCAAAATCACAGCCCATTACAATGTGCAATGTCCCCAAACATCCAAAACTATCCAAAATTGCTATATTACAAATCACAACCTAAACCTCATTAATGTATTCATCACGAATATGACATTTTGCCATTTGTGTGGTTTTAGTTAACGCGGGGTGCTTGAGTTTTTTTAGTTGTGGCGATTGAACTGGAGAGCTAAACTTAGTCTTCGTACGTTCATAGTAATGCATCTTCTGGGCAAGGAGTGAAACTATTGCAATAAACAAGTAGAGTAGATGTAAAAGATGAAATGATATGATATTATGTAACTGAATGTGAGCTCCTACCTGAAAATCAGGAGGTACTTTTCCAGAGCTGACAGCGGTGCCATCAACTGTCCTCCATTCCACGCTGATTTCTCCTAACAATCCTTGTGCTCTTTCAATAGTGATGGGCAACGTTGCAATCTCCTCTGTTGTTCTGATCTATAGCACAATTTAACCCATTACTACAGCACCAGCAGGGTTTCTTCTGAGGGAAAATTAGACAAAGGAGGTAATGGCCAGTTTGGGGAAAAAACGCGCATGATGGATTCATATACAGGATGTATTGATATACTTATAGGTATATAGATACAGGATATACTTATTAGTAAATACAGAAACATTTTCACAATGGCAATGTTAAATTTGACAACGGCGGTGCGCCACTGTGCCTCCTATGTATAAGAAACACTGACCAGAAATCAGATTACGATCAACCATAGTAAGTTTAACTCGTATAGCTGGATACAGCATTTCTATAAACGAACAATGTTTAATTGACCTCTCACGTATCCCATGTTAAACTATCTTTACCCTAATTCCTAAGCTTAATCTAACCCAAACCCTAAATCTAACATAACTATTTTACCCCTCACTAAAAATTATCATCGATCGTTTAAGTAAGGTTAAGATTGTTAAACATGCGACACTGTCGAATTGCCCTTTAACTTCTAACGACGCTTTTAAGAGCAATTCTCAACTACGCCCACAACACAAACCTGGGAGCACGCACACCCCCTCGATCAATCACTCGCCGCTCATTACCCAGTAATCAATACGCACCTGCTGAGATTCCGTAGCCGGCACGATCAGGCCGCCAACTACGCGGCTGGCGTTCCCAGCCATGAACTGCAGCAGGCCGTAGGGGAAGTCGTTCGCTTCGACGGTGACCGTGCTGTAGCTGCCGCGCGGGTCGATGCTGGCGCCACTCATGTTCGTCGTCCCGGCGACGCCATCGTCCGACGTCGCCTCGACCAGCCGCACGTGGAACACCTCGACCGTCTCCGGCACTGCGTCGTCCACGACGCGAAGGTTCAACCGCTGAAAGCGACGACAGCGGTGTCAACACGAATGACATGCGACGTGACTATATAAACCGCTGAAAGCGACAACAGAGGCGTCAACACGAATGACATGCGATAGACAGATCATTATTTTATTTATATTCTACACACCATACTGTACATTCGTCACTTTCACATTTTTGCAGCATACTTCACGTTTAGGTTTCAGTACTGCACATACTGAGGCCATAATAAAAATATTGATTTGTTTGCCTTCACCCGACCGATCCACCAAAAAGGGGCAGACTCAGACAATATTATTGATCTTTCCCACTCTTTTTTTCTCACAAATTCTATCACTGTACATTATATAAATCTGTAGGCAATACATTATATCCTGATTATATGTACCAAGCAAAACGAAAATTCAACATAAACGGTATCTCCACACAAGCACACCCAAGCATGTAGACACCACCATGCTGAAAAAGAAACCCCTCAAAAAAAAGAAAAAAGCCTTCCTACCTACCCAAACTTTTCAGCCTGAATCGGGTGAGGGCAACCAAAGATTTTTTTAATTGCGGCCTGACAGGAGCCAACTGCTTCCACACTGTACCTGCGTTCGCTCTCCGGGAAGAAACTCGAGAACGCCAGAAGTCTCGCTGAAGTCCGACCCGTTGAAGTACGTTCCGGCCGTCTCGTTCCACTGCATGACCGTCCAGTGCACCGTCACAACACCCTCGTCCCCGAACGATCGCTGCACCGTACAGACAACGTCCACTCCTTCGGACTGCGCTAGCGACGGGGTGCAGTCACCCTCGAAGCCAAACAACCCGTTGGCGTTATCACTCTTCAAGACTGAAACGGTGAGCGAAATCGGAGGGGTCGGCCCTACTATAGGACGGCTGTTTTGTAATAAGGGGCTTACGATTGGGTTAGCATTAGAATTATGTTATGATTATAGATAGGTTAAGGTTATGGTTAGGGTTTAGTTAGGCTTAGGTTTACGTTTAGGTTATGGTTAGGGCTAGGTTATAGTTAAGGTTCGGATAGGGTTGGCGTTAGGACTAGGGTTAAGGTTAGGCTAAGTTAGGGCTATAGGGCAAAGTTAGAGCTAGGGTTAGTGTTTGAGTTTTGGTGATAATTATGACTAATGATGACTAATGACTATGTACAGCAGTTCTAAAAGCTGATTAAGCTGGAGAAAACGCACACATGTGATTGCAGATCACACTCGGTTTTTATACCATGTATATACTGTACTAATCGCCTCTGCAAAGCAACGCTAACCTGTAACCTTGCCGATGCCATCGTCGCGTGTTATCCGTGCTCCTCCTCTCGCAGACAACAGTTTGACTGCGAACACCTCGTTGCCCTCATCCTCGTTGTCCTGAACCGACTCTAACTGCAGCATGTGTGAGGCGACTCCCGGGAGGAAGGTCAGATATCCCGACACTGGCTTCACGTCCTTCCTGGCGGGTGCCCTGCTCAGTTCCTCGATCTCACTAAAATTGTGAGTAAGCGATGTGGCCTTCGTGGCGTCTAATCTATTGCGTCTATGTTTCTCAGTAAAATCACGTTGCCCATGACTTTTTTAGAGGTTAATCTTCCACATCTACGTTTCTCACAGATAACCAACTGCCTGTGTGTCAGCTTCTCTTTTCTAATGTTCATTAATTTAGCTTGTACCTCTTCTGGTTATACAATACCACAAGCTATCTTAAATTTCAAGGGTCTAATGTAATTTTAATATATATATATATATATCATGTACATATAATCACATGGAATGGCATAGACTTACCCAGGGTCTAATCTCCGGTTATAGACTCTCACATCTTGCATCAGTCCTTCATAAGTGCTTACATCACCCGGCACAATACCACCTACAAGCAATGTGCCGGACTCATCTATCACTCGCGTTGTTCCAGTCAGCCTATATCAACAGTAACAACGTGTAAAATGCATTTAGTATATTTCAAGCCTGAGATGTTAAGCCTCAACCAATAATAGCCATCGGTCACTCGATGCACAGCATTATAACAGTGCATCTGCACACTTGCACAGCTGTACTGACATCGATACAAGAAAATGAAATAAAACTACTAAATTTAATATAACATTATGTAATTAATAACATGCGGTTCACTTTTTCTAAACAAACAGTTATCGTTTAAAAAAACGCATGTACACAGAGACACAGACACAGGCAGGCACACCGTCACACGGACGCATGCACATGAACGCACACACAAGGAAGCACGCACGTGAACGCACGTGAGTGCGTGCGTGCGTGCGTGCGCGCACACTAACACACACCTATGTAATCAATTTTAGACCTACTTGCGTCCCACAAAGTATCCATTCAAGTAGAATTCTGCTTCACCGCGAGCTAACATAATTAAAATCTGATGCCATTTGCCATCACAGAGGTTCTTTCGTTCACTCCAATACAATGTTCGATGAGTCTAAAAGCAAATTAATTCTCAAAGGTAAGATATACATGTATAGAAATAAAAAAGTCCCTCTAAGGATCACACTTAATATGCAAAGCAAAACTGTAATAAAAAAATTTTATTTTCACATCTATCTTTTTCCGCTTAACTTAATTCAGCCTGCATTTTGTGTTAAGCTTCATGATGCACATACCAGACCATCTTGCTTTGAATTCATCAAGCTGTAACCAAAGGTTACTTTAAACTGTATCGTGTCAGCTTCCAAGTGCAGGGTATAGTAATGCTTGGCACCATCGTCTGACGTCTTTGCAAAAATGTAGCCATCTTGAGGGGCCACTGGTTGTATCCATGTTGAGACTGAGAAGCCGGTTTCGATGTCAGAGATCAGTGGCTGATATTGCTGGCTGATTGTCACGTAATCACCTAAGACAATTAACACATATTTACACACACACACACATATATATAATTATATATATATACATACACACACACACATGCATGCACGCATGCCCATGCACACATTCAAGTGCCACATGAAATTTTTATGAAGACAATCATCAGGTAGAGAGAAAACCATGACAGCACATCAATATGGTATATGAAAATTCTCATTTGAGCTCAAAATCGTTCCATATAACCCACCGCCATGACCGCTTCATAACTAACCTTGACTTCCACTAAACTGCAACACCTTTGTGCCTGTGAGAGGCCGTCGCATGTCCGGCCTTTCCGTGACTGTTTCGGGGTAATCTCCCAGGAACAGCAAATCCTTCGCAGCCGGAAGGTCACCAGCAATCGCATCCGAAAACACCTCCCACAGCACCTACACACCAAAAGCATTTCCAGGTATCTAGCACAACAGGCCGATTAATTCCATCAAGAGTCCATAATAGAGACTATAGACTCTGGTTATGGACTCTTGATTCCATCTAAATACAACGACGATTCTTGCTGTTATTTCAAGTTCTGAACCGATTCTCTCCTACTTCTACTGACTCGTTACTTCTACCTACATCGTCTTACGTAGAACGATACATCAGTAAAATCATAAGTGAAAGCTTGCAAATACCTGCACAGTCGAGTAGGCACCTTGCAGTCGAACCACAGTAAGGTTTGTCACTGTCGAATCTTCCGACCCCGGATAAAAGTCCTCCGCTATATACTGGTCTCGCGTGTCAGGGTCGAACATAAATATGCCATATGGGTCATCATTCCCAAAAACTTTGACTGTGACCCGAAGATGCTCGTCTGCCAGCCTGCCCTCTTGACCACTCGGACCATACCCTGCGAGCAGAATAAAACAGCCAAACTGCACAATGATCGAGATAAATTTAGAAACATTATCCCCATCAGCTTTGTGGTTCCATGGAATCAAAAGGAATTCATCCAGAATGAAATAGCTGGACTAGACAATGATCCAGAACAACTGTGAAATAATATTTCTACCCGTTTTGAAGTTCCATGGTATGAAAAGGAAATCATTCACCCGTACAGATCATATTGATCCCACGTATCTTCACAACAGATGATTAATCATGCAACCATACAATATCCGATGTAATGACAACCTGACTAGCAACAGAATATTCGAGGCTCACCAGTGACGTTGTGAAGTTTCACGTCAAAGTATTCATCATGCTCTGGGGTGCCATCAGCTAACACATCGACACTGAAGTGTTTCTCAACTTCCTGATCGAGGAATCGCACAAAGCCAGACACAGGACGAAAGTCTGTCTCCCGTGGAATTTCATTATTCGTGCCGTTTTCAACGATGTGCCACCATAACTGTGCAGCTCCAAAATTTCCAGCAAACCTTTGGATGCTAAATTGATAATGTGAGAACGTGGGGATAAGTACACACAGTCATTATCAAGGTATGTATACCCTCATTTAACATTTTGGATATTTTCAATGTTTCGGCTACATGTGTCATGAAATAATTGGACGTAAAGCAAACTTTGTAAGAAATTATTATGTATTCATAATTTTTTTCTTTTTTTCTATTTCATTAAACCATTTTTAAATAGATGCCAGATAAAGTATCATAAATGCTAATATATGGCAGTGTTGTAGGAGCTAACAGCAAAAGATATAAGACATTCAAACACAAACATACATAACATCCAAAACATCTGTATGTACAACGCGCAATGCAAATCATCACTTCAAATCATGTTTACATTCCTTACCCAAATTTTAATGTTTCTCCTTCAGTGGCAGTTATAATCAATGGTGGCACAAATCTGAACACTCCATTTGCATCATCGTTCGCTAAGATCATCACCGTTGCATTCGCTTTTGGCGTATATGCAACTACATCTCCTGCCGCAGAAGAAACAAAAATTATTTACATTATCACTGATATAAACTCAAAATCTAAGCCATCATTTAACCCTCACTTATTGAAACTTCACACGTGTTACTAACGGCAAGAGATTAGCTCTGCATGTCGTGTTCCTTTTACAATTTTAATACTTATAAATTCCACACTTTAGCTGGGGTATGTTCTTGGTAGCAGAAACTCTTCTAAATAGGGTAGGTGTAGAAATTTATATATATTTAAAATATAAATCACCAATGCTCTCTTGTTTTCACTTCGGTGCTTTGCCCCCACCCCTCTCTCTCTCTCTCTCTCTCTCAGTCTCTCTTCTCTCTCGTCTCTCTCCTCTCCTCTCCCTCCTACCTCTCCTCTCCTCTCCTCTCCTCTCCTCTCCTCTCCTTCCTCTCCTCTCTCTCCTCTCCTCTCCTCTCCCCTCCTCCTCTCCTCTCCCTCCTCTCCTCATCCTCTCCCTCCTCTCCCTCCTCTCTCTTCTCACTCTCCTTCCTCTCCTCCTCTCCTCTGCCTCTCCTCTCCTCTCCTCTCCTCTCCTCTCCTTCCTCCTTCCTCTACTCGCCTCTTCCTCTCCCTCTCTCATTCGCGTCGTTACCGTACTGGCCTCTCCTCTCGTCTCTCCTCTCCTCTCCTCTCCCTCTCGTCTCGTCTCTTCTCTCTCTCCCTTTCTCTCTCTCTCCCTTCTTTCTCTCCTCATCTCTCTCTCTCTCTCTCTCTCTCTCTCTTCGCTCCTTGTAGCCATATTCGATAGACATACGCTTTCATCATCACATGCAAACAGAGAAGAAACCTTGATAAACTATATAATCAAAACAGGTACATACAAGAGCGTATAAAGAAGAAGAGCGTATAACGGTGAAATGCTGAAACCATGTATGTCCTGCAGTCAGTCAAATTAATTAACTTTCCAGTATTATTGATCAGCTGTACCTACCTTGTTAAATAAAACAAAATCCGCATGTCCCTAAGATGCCCCTAGCGCTGAGATAATGAGTGGAGACTCGAGATCAGTGTTTACTGCGGACTGTCCTCGCTTTGAGATAACTTCGGGAAACCTGGCGTGTGTTCCGTCAATGATTGACCAATATGGAAATGAATGAAGCGTCTGTTATTGATTGCCATAGTGATGAACCCCCACTCTGTGCCCAACCTCACGCTGGATGTAATAGTGAATCTCCTGTAGTACTGACCGTGAGTCAGGCGCTACCAGCGCTACACAGCGGCGACCGGAAGCATACACTGGCCACAAAGCGAGAGACAGTCGCCACAAGTAAATACTGATCTTGAGTTCTTTGTTCGCGCAAAAATACCGAGATTTTACCGCCGTCATTATTCTCAGTGATAGGAGCATCGTAGGAACAAGCGGAGTTTGTTTTATATTAACAAGGTAGCTGACAGCTGATCAATAAATTACGCCAAGAGAATCGCCAAAATAAAACGACCAAACGTTTTCTTAAATTCGACTAATACCGCAACATGTTCACCATTTCAACCGGTGTTGTACGCTCTCCTTCTTTATACGACTCTGTGATACTTACCCCTCTGCACTCAAACAGTTCTATTGTAAAATTCATCATTCTCCGGTTCCTCCGTCATCTCTCACAACGACACTGATGGCTGCTCGTACTACGCCGCTGGAATACTAGGAGCACATCAATCGCCATGTAGTCCTGCAAATAACACGTGTTTTGTACAGACCATGTTATGTCGCGACACCTCTAATGCTTCCACACCATTACTCCAGACTATAAGTGTTCTCTGTGAATGGATTAATGATTACATATTCTAGGAGACGGGAATCAATGCACTTTTTATCACCTTCCCGAATTAAGATAACAGCGGACACGATGTAACTATAAGCATATTTGAACATGGTGTTGCAACACAAATACCCCAGGGAGACCAAAAATTCTCGGCTCTTACATTGCCATCATTTATTAATTTACTGACCAAAACAATTTACCCGTATTATTACGTTGAAGCTCCCAAGTGACAACGAATACGTGGACTTACACTGTTCGCAAATGGCTGTCCCAAGGAATGGTGCAGATATCTAAGTAGATCACAGGTGTTTCTATAGCAGCCATTTCGCCCACTGTGAACTGTACAACACCAGGGTTCTTCCTGCAAACTTGGTTCCACTGGATCTACAAGTTGTATTGATAGAATAGTATTACTATATATTGTATTATTATATTGTTATTATATTACCTTAGTTAAGAATAGTACTTGTTCGTGCTGCATTCATGCGAGAATGCGTGTGCGTGCGTAGATTTCACAGTATTACTGTCACTCTACAAAATTGCTATGGTGTCCTTACATTGTCTGCCCTTAGAGATATAACCCCTAAACAGGGTTGACAACCTTGTAGATCTCACAATCAAATTGGCAACATCTATATCACTCGATGCGACTTACCAGCAAACAACCACAGGGTCGTCATTCTTCTTGACGGTGAGCACAGCAGATTAGCCGGGCTGGAGGCGATACTCTCATGCTTGCATCTGGCTCTCATCGGCACTAATTTGAAATTCTCATCATCTCTGGATGCTACACACCCACAACCAAGTTGTAGTCATGCCATCGTGGTTGTACACTCACATATGTGTTAGAAGATAGAGTTATTTGCGTGCATGACGGTTTTTTTGCATTGATTCAGATTGTCGTGAGCAACAATATAACTTACTATTATATAAATGAAAGCAAAATGGTCACCACTTTTAATTCCTCAGATCAAATCGTTGCGACAGATCAACAAATATTCACACCGTAATCCTCATCAGGGGCAGAGCTCAAGAGCATTGGGCTGGGCCGTGACCATCTGGAAGCTAACAGTGGCCAGTGCAGGGTGTCACCATCTTGTATTCCCTTTAGGCAGTACGTGCCACTTCCAGAGTGACTGGACTAAATTGCCCGATCTCGCATCACACGTAAATTCTGCACGTTATGGTATTATTGCCTTTACTTCTCCTGACAAAACCACATTAAAATATTCTATCTCTTGAAGCTGCACACCCCTGCGAAAAAATTCACAATAAACTTTTAGGATACTGCTATAGAGTAAAAGATAATTCGTGCAGAATCCTTACAAGCTTATACACAATTATAATCTGTTAATATGCCGGAAAAAAATGGAAATTCCTATAGTAGCTATACACAGCTATAGTATGGCCGTAGAGCAACTGGCACGAAAATGAAACATGCCATAAGGATCGTCATTTTTAGAAATGGTGATGTTAATAGCTGATTTTGACCAATGTCGGACACCTTTTCCGCCGTAGCTTATAATCTGGCAGCACCGTACTCCTCATCCAGCTAAAAACAGATAAAACACTGTGTCCAATTCTTCTCACCGGCAATACACAGTTTTCCTCCTGTGCGATATCAAGCAAGTCTACGAGCCGCTATCAGCATCTTCCTGAAGTGTTTAATTATGCCTTCAACTTAGCTATCATTTTAACTTAACCTTTTAAGACAGAGGAAACAACTACAAAACATACTAAAGTATTCGGGCCAAACACTATACAATAATGAAAACTTATATCTTTTACACCCTCTGCGGATTCCATCTGGGAACAGCAACGACAGTAGCTGTATTTGAACCTTCTCCAGCTTCAAATTTCAAACACGGTTCGTTCCACGATAGAATTTCCTCATCGCTTCATTCTTCTGGTCTGAGTGCTCGACTAATAAAGATCTCCACCTTTCGCTTCACAGCATCCCACCTGACCTCTCATACTGGCCACTCTACGTGCTGGTCCATCTTCTCTGTTGTGATCCAACACCACATGACAACCAATTCACAACCAAAACAATGTGGTCGGTGTGAAATGACTTTTTAAACCCACGAGAAATATTAAAGCCTACGGTATTCTTCCTTAGACAAAGAATA